ATACAAACTGAGAAAGGTATTCGAATAGATTTGCAACGACTAATATTCGCGAACAAACCGCTTGAAAACAATCAAACACTATCTAATTATAACATTGGTGATGAATCGGTCCTTTATATTGTTCTGCGTAAGTATGTCAGATAGATTACAATTATCAGAATACTGCTAAGAAACTGGTTTCATTTTAAACTAGCCTCTAGTACATATGCAAAGGCTTGTTTCATCCAAAAGAGTGTTAAATTGCACATTTTCATAAACTTGAAAAGATTGGTATGGTGTTAGAGATAGAGGACTACAAAGTGACTTTTTTAGTTTCGGCTGGAGCCTGTGGCTCCAAAACGAAGGGCATCTCTTGAAAATTTGATATAGCTAATTAGATAAATACAGACATGTGCTCCATTAAAAGTAATGATTGATCTTATTTGCCTATAGCAAGCTTCTTTGTAATTGCAAGATCTTATTTACTAATGGAATTCTAGTGTATAGATACAAAAACAGAAATTTATAGAGCTGGCTCTGACAGTACCCAAAAAACTGAATCATGGTTCCGGTTTTTCGGGAGCAGCTCTTCTGATCTCTAGTCAGAGGATCAGACACTTTATTACGTAACTAGCATCAGTTAGATTTTAAAGATCTATAGAGAATCTTTTCAGTAATTTCCAGTTAAGGATTTGTTATGGATCTTATTTTCTGATCTAGGAGAAATTTTGACTTTAACTTGGTAAAGTCTTGATTGAATCTGCACTGGTGATCAGAAATTTTTGATTTTCAAAAAAAACATTTCATAGAGAGCTTGAACAATTCCTAGCAAAGACTCTATATAATTATGATTAATGTCTTGCTAACATGAAATCAAGTGGGATTTGACATAGGATCCAGACAGATCTTTCTATAATATATCAAACAATGAACAGTATGAAACCCTATGAGATAAAAACCTCTTGTTTTAAGGGAAAGAATACTTGTGAACACTTTTAAAAATAATTTTCAATGTTTGACAAAGTTCTCTCGCAGAAAAAAATCTCTCACTTTGTAATAATTTCAGGGTAGAGAGCGCACTATCTATTCAATCGTGTAGATGACTTCGTTTTCAGTTGTTCATTCATTTATAGTCAATCCTAATATTTCATTAAATACAGGATCAGCAGAGAATAGCTTGACTGTTGCTGGAGGGTACGGGCTAGGCAGTGCCAACAATGAATTCTGTTTCCCGTATGGTATCGTATTTGATGAAAATCAAACAACGATCATTGCTGACTGGGGCAATCACCGTATCGTCCAATGGAGGATTGGTGATACGAATGGTGAAAAAATAGCTGGTGGTAATGGCCAAGGGAATGGCAGGAATCAATTGAATTGTCCAACGGATTTGCTGATTGACAAAGAGACGAATAGTCTCATTATCTGTGATCAAGGAAATCGACGGATCGTGCGATGGTCTCTTGATAATCGCACCACTCAAAGAGAAATACTCCTCGAGAACATCGCATGTTGGGGATTGGCCATGGATGATCAGAGACGTCTCTACGTCTCTGATATCGAAAAAGATGAAGTAAGACGATATCAAATGGGAGAGAAGGATGGAACTGTTGTGGCTGGTGGTCATGGACGAGGTGCTGCTTTCAATCAACTCAGTGGGCCCACCTACATCTTTGTTGATCAACAACAGAATGTCTACGTATCAGATACATGGAATCATCGTGTGATGAAATGGAATAAAGATGCAACAGAAGGAATTATTGTTGTTCGAGGATTTCCTCGAGGACTATTCGTTGACATGTCAGAAACCGTCTATGTAGCAGACTATGGGAGTCATCGACTTATGAGTTGGCCTAAAGGAGCGACAGAGGGCACTGTCATTGCGGGTGGAAGTCCTGGTGGAGAAGAAGCAAATCAATTGTATTATCCCTGGGGTTTGTCCTCCGATCAACATGGCAATCTTTATGTTACCGATCATTCAAGCCATCGAGTACAACGATTTTCTATCAGGCAGGCCAATTAATGTCTTTCATTTTTTCTTTT